ATGAGGCTTTCTGTTCCCGTAAAGATTTACAGCCTCGGAAACCCTGTGCAGGGTCACTATGAGTCGGAACCGACTCCACGGTACTTAACAATTCTGCCAAACATCTTTTTTTTTTTAAAAAAAAAACAAAAAAAACTAGGTCTAGACTTTAGGGAAGGTGCTCTGGTAGCGTAGTGGTTATGAATCGCGCTGCTAAGGTCAAGGTCAGCAGTTCAAAACTACCAGCTGTTCTGCGGGAGAAAGATGAGGTTTTCTGCTCCCGTAAACCGTAAAGATTTACAGCCTGGGAAACCCTACACAGGGTCACTATGAGTCAGAACCGACTCCACAACACACCATCACCACCACCAGGTCTAGGCTTGGCCTTGAGTCCTAGTGTGGCTCTGTAAGCACTGGACCACAAGGTCGGTTTGAACCATTAGGTCAGCAAGTTCAAGCTCACCAGCTGCTCCTTGGAAACCCTATACAGGGTCACTTATGAGTCGGAACCGACTTGACAATATTTAACAACAAAAACAGGATTGACCTAGGACTTCATAACCCATTTAGTGTTAGGGTTATGGTTAGGGTGAGGGTTAGTGCTAGGGACAGGAATTGGTGTAGGGCTAGGAGTAAGGCTTGGTCTAGTTTTTAGGGTTATAGTTAAGTTTGTTTTTCTTGAAATCTACTTGATTTCTTCTTCATTTGAAAGTTCTGTAACTGCATTAGTCCCTCTTTTTGATTTATGTTTTGTTGTTGCAACTGTATCTCTAGTTGTCAAATTTCAGTCTTGTGGGTCTGTTTTACTTTGAATACTTCTACATCTGGGTGAATTCTGGGTGATATTGTCATGTATGTTAATCTCTGATTGTTGTCTGTTGATTCTCTGTTCAAGAATTCCCTTTAGTGTTTTTGGTAACATTGTCTGGTTTTTACAAATCCTTTTCATTTCTGTTTACCTGAAAATGATCTAATTTCATCATCATGTTTGATGGACGGTTTTGCTGGATGTATGGATCTTGGTTGGCAGTCTTTTTCTTTCAGAGTTTTATATATGTCATTCCGTTGTTTTCTTGCCTGTGTGATTTCTGCTGAGAAATCAGAGATAAATCTTATTAGTTCTCCTTTGTAGGTAACTTTCAGTTTTTCCTGAGTTACTCTTCAGGATTCTTTCCTTGTTTGGGATTTTGAAAAGTTTGATTACAGTATGTCTTGATGTTTTTCTTATGTGAGTCTATCTTGTTTGGAGTTCATTCAACTTCTTTTTTGTTGTTGTTGTTTTTTCACTGTAACATTTATTATCTGTAGAATATAGAATCCATTGTTTTCATTTAGTTTCTGAAAAGGGGGTAGAGTTGTGATGTTACACGTTTCTAAAGAAGTGGTTTTTTGTTTTGTTTTTCTTTGCTTTATATATTATTTTACTTTCTTGCAACATTTCTCTGATATGTTGGGTAATTCACATTTTTTTATGAGTTTTACATTCCATAAATTATATTTTGCTTCATTGCAATGATTACAGTCCACTCCATGTACCATAAGTCACAATATTTACCTCTATCCCACCACCCCCTTATTTTAATGTTTTTATTGTGGATTCAGTGAAAGTTTACAGGACAGATCATCAGTTTTACATTCACCAAATCATACACCTTGTTTCATTGCAATGATTATAATCCCCTTCATATACCATCAATTAACAGTATTTCTCACTACCCACTTTAGCTCTTTAAAAAACAACAACAACAAAGACACTCAGGCATATATAATAATTTACATCTCCAAAGGCAAAAGTCAGCCTCCTGGCCACCAGCTCTTAGTCCCTCTTCTCCCATGAATCTAGAGTCCTCAGCCACTCCACCTCTCCATGACCCCATTTCT